TCTCCAGTGAAATGCCGAATAGATTCTCATCGGTGGCGGCAAAAGCCTCACTCTCTTCCCAGGTCACATCATCAACAGCTGGCGCTCTGTTGCATGCGCGAGGCATCAGATAAATCAGGTACATAGAGAGACTTCTATGTGACCCACACGACTCCTATGCGGCAGTACATAATGCTGTGTTGTTCAGGATTAACACATAGCAGGAATTAGAGCATTAGCGAGGCTCGAGGATTAAATGTGATTCGTTCCATGCGACTCTATCTCCTCTTTCTGCCTGGGGATGGGCGAAAGTGGTCGCCTCTAAATACGATTTGTTTCCGAATTTATTTGTCCAGTGAGGGATTTTGTTATAATATTTGTTTGAAGAGAGCCGTGGACGCGAGACAACCGAAACATCATCATTTTCAAAACCACCCTCTCTCAACGCCGGTGTACCGAAAAGCCCCCCCATAATCAAAATGTGTACCTAATCTATCGCACTAAAGAGCGATGACTGCATCGCTGTCCGTTGATATTGGAGCAATTTGAATTTCGTGCAAAAATATTTGATCACCCTGACAAGTGTCTCACATTTGAGGACTTTGAGATAAAGTTTGAGTGGTGAAAAAATGGGTAAATATCGTAAATACAAATCTCAGTGAATTACTTGATTGAGAGCAAACAAACTTTATCAATCTTTTGATTCCTATGCGAAACATGCCGCGTGTATTCTGTTGGCGGTTGAGACAAGGAGGAGATATTATGGTCAGAAGCAGTTTAGGGCAGTGGAAGTGCTTCAATTGATGTAACATTTCGTTCACAGCTCTGATTTTCTATTGATTATTTCACTCTAAGAAATTACTTTTTATCAGAATCCTAATTTTGAAATTCTTTTTCAGGTTATGTGACTAATTTAAGACTAAATAACAATTGAAAATAGAAATTCTGGCGCCCGAACTAAAAGTATTTGTACTTATATTGATAGAATTTCTTATTTTAATCCAATACAATCATTATTTTATGAAGTAAAAAATCTAAAGTCACACGTAACCTCATTTTTTTTTAATTGAATTGTTGCAATTTTGAGTTAAAAATAAAAAGAACAATTGATCAAAGGATTATGATCGAGACAAATACTCAAAAATGCTATTTTAGCGGAAGAATATAATAAAATATTGCATGAAGACGTGAATTTTAAATTCACAAGTTAGATTTCGGTTAATACTTGGTTATATTCTAGTTATTAGTTGATTATAGTCTTGCTATAAACAATCCATAAAGTCTGAAGTGCTGGGAAATTCCAAAGACTTCTCATACAATTTGTGGAAGTGTAGGGAAGTGGTGTACAGATTTTATCCATATTATCTTCCCCTTGGCATGAGAGTGAAACTTTGGGTGTATTTTGAAGCATCGGGCAAAGGACGGCGGATGAAGTGCGCAAAAAGTGGCGAAAAGTCAACAGTGTGAAACAGGATCTGCAGGCGCTCCTTGGCAGGGAGGTGTACATAGGATGAGTAGTCTGAAAACAGAGGCATCTTGGCATGGCAGGAAGTACTCAGAGCTCTACATATGGCGACAATGCCTGGGCGGGAATGTGAGGGGTTTGAGGGTGAACGTAAATCCGTTATCCATAAGCCCGCTCGGCTGATGGGATTATACGGAAATCCAGATAAAGGGATAAAGGCGCTCGAAAGCCCTCACTCTGTATTTTCTCGCTCAACTAGCACTCTTCCTGTCTCCCTGCCCCCTTCCACAGCCCCTGCCACATAGGACACTCTCGCCCATGAATAGTGAATGGCTCGAACGAATCTTCTATGCATGGTGGCAACGTAATGCGAATCGAATGAGTGATTTTTCTCAACCGAGGGTGAGTGAATTGCGTACCAGCCCCAGACACACATCCTCAGTGGAAATCCAACGTCACAGACTGCATTCTCAGCAAATTAGAGTCGGTTAGGGATTAATCCAGTGGGATTTGCCATCGCAACAATGCTCTGTGTTTTTCAAAGGCCGCCCTCCGCCACATTCTCTCTCCCATTCAAATCCGGTAATCTCGAATAAGAAATTTATTTTGTATATGAACTATGGCATCAGGATTAAAGTTTTTCCCCATTCAGTTGTCATGAATAAACGTGAAATAGCAATAAAAAGGGTCTCTCTGATGCCTTCAATGGCATCACACAATCCCTAATGATGCTGAAATCCATCTGACTCTCGCTTCTCCTTATTCCTGCGCTGCAGCTTCTTCAGCATCTCACGGTGACGTGCCATTCATCGTCACGCTGAGAATCAAATTATATTTATTGCGTGTCGATACTGAAATATTTTGAGAGGTTGAGAAATTGATCGTTTCAAACGACCAAATGGTCAAAATTGGAACTAGGGTGAAATGCTGCAGATTTAAACTCAAGAGGGAGATAAGACTGAACTCTCTACTGAATGATGTTCTGCGCTAATCTGTTAGCAGACAACTGCACGCCAGCTAAACCTTCACGATTGACCCCTTTGGCTATTATCCCTTAAGACCAAGACAAGAGCAGAGTTAATTGCGCATTCGCTTAGCTCAAGTGCAGTCTTCCCGCCTCGATTTGCCTTCAACGCACTTCCAATAAACTCTACACCGTTTGCAACAATAATATTCTCCACCCTTGGTGAAACTGAGCTCTGAATCTCTCTCTCTCTCCCTGTGAGGAGTGTTGTATGACATATATAGTTTAAAATCACGAAGGGATTGCAGCATGTGCTGAGCCAACAACCCTCTTGCCAAGCAGAGACATTTGAGGAGAGAGAGTCTATCACGAGGGATAATCTGATAATGCGAGAGTGTGAGAAAAGAATTGTTTTGGCGTTTTATCCCATGGGAAGGACTCGACGCTCTCTTGCAATTTTTTCCAGCTCCTCTCCTCGCCCCGCGCCTGTTGGGATTTTATTTGTATTCCAGCGGATTACCTGTTTGCCCCTGACACAATCTCTGATGAGCCGTCAACGTTGTTGCATGCACAGGGAGAGCGTGTATTATGTAACGAGGTGTGTCTCTCCTGCCCATGCCTGTGTGTATATTTGTCTCTATCAACCCCATCATTCAGCACCGGATTTTCGCTACAATCCCGCTTAGCGCTTAGCCATCCGATGCAACATCCATCCATGGCGACTCTGTCTCTGGGTCAGGCGGGGCGAGCGGCCCTTTGGAGCACGTATAAATGAATAGTCTCCAAATTCGGCATTGCATGGTGCATGGCAGGAGGGATAAAATAAGCCGACTTGCCCGTGTATTGAGTTTTGGGGGAACAATGTGGGAGAGAGATAGAGAAATGGTTGAATGAGACGACAGTGCAGGACGGTGAGGTCGAACATAAATCTCTAATCCTTGGGATTTCAATACACAGATTTCCGTGCTCTTTGCATTTACCCGCGTCTCTTCATCTACAATTCACCACACTCTATTCTGATGCTGTTTCAGTTTTAAACCACCCCCGCTCACCCCTCTTCACCCCGCCTGACCGTGGAATTTGCACCATGAGATATAGACAGACAGAGAGCAGAGAGGCAAGAGAGTATTGATGGAAAATCAACTATACATCAACTGACGAAGTATCCACAGCAAGTAAAATCCTAATCATCCCTTTCTGCATCACAGCCGAGTGCAATCCATCCGGGTTTGGGGGAGGATCTGGCGAATAAATTATATCATATGGAGATGGAGATGGAAGAGAGTGTGCTTTCAGCTTGTGAGGATTTGCAGAGATTTTCGCATTATAATCCGGAAAGCTTTATCCATCCTCCTCACGAAAATCCCCTCACACTCTGCAGAACCTTTTGTGATGGCTCCTCTTTCCCCATCTCGAAGGCAGAGATTATCGCATCCCCATTTCAGATGGTGGATTTACTCATATGTACTCCCCAAACTTATTGGGTTACACACTCTCCGGCCACCCCCACTCCCTCCCGGAGACACCGAGAGGGCTTTGGGCGCAAAAGCTCAGGGAATGTGGAATTGATTTCCAGTTTCGGCAGCATCACTCTCCATGAATACACCGAGAGAGAGAGAGAGGGGGTGGGGCGGGGGCGCAGGGAAATAGGATTAGGGATTAAGATTGGGCTGGTGCATGTGCCATGCTATGTGAATTTTCGGGTGCAAACTCACCCGAATGGCGCCGGGGAAAAAGGCGAGGAAAAGCAGTGTGGAGACAGTGATCAAATATTTGCACTCATGTCGATGTGTGTGGGATACATAATGCGTAAATATCGGTAATTTATTTAATAAAATCAGGTGCGTCATTCATATTATTCGCCCAGATAGGATGAAATGCATTTCGGGACGCCTTTAATCTGCACAATAAATATTACTCGTAAACAAAATCGCGCCAACACTACCATGAGGAGGATTGTGCGGTAGTCTGGAGAGTGGCCAATTGATTAATCGCGTGAAAATTGTAAAAGCGTTTCGCCTGACCAAATCAATGGGCATTTTCGCTCATGGGCAGCCATAAGCAATGCATCGAAATTGATATTTTCGCGCCACAATATATGACAGATTTGCAATATTTACATTCAAATATGTAAGGCAAAGAGATACATTTTCACCCATTTCACCACCACATGCGACTCTTCCAAAGGGTCGACAGAGAGATTGCGTCATGGGCGTAGGCAAAGTTTATTGCATTTTTCCATTTTAAACCACAAAAAAACATAACTAATCTGTGGCAAGACTTTCCCAAAAAGAACTGTGTTTTAACCACAATGTGACCAATTTGGCGCTAAACACACCAAAAAGTAGCGATATTAAACTCATTATCAAACTGTTACAGGTTGATTTATGCCATTTATGGTAAAACGAATTCAAAAAATAGAATAATTAGTTGATTTACTGACGATTTTGCACGAAATTTGCAGTTCAAAAGTCCGTTTCATAGTGAAAATGAACCCTTTCCACCTCTCTTTGCCCACGTCCATGAATAAATCCTGGATTTTAAGCTCTCAAAATGCACAAAGTGTATTAATTCACAGAGAATTCTACTCACAATTGACTTTGGAGAAGTCAAAGTCCTTCCTGTCGACGGGAGGAGAGTTGTTGCCCTGGCCGGCCGTGCCGTTCTCCGTGATGTTGGCCGTCTGGGCGCCGGGAGCGGCGCTCGCTACGGCCTTAGGCGTGATGCCGAAGTAGGGAGTGGGCGCCGAGGTGTTGACGGCGCCTGCAGGGTTGCCGGTGGGCAATTGCTCTTGATTGGCGTGACTGGAGGAGGCATTGGAGCAGGGCCGATGATGGTACTTGGGGCTCCTCGAGCGCTCACGAGGACTCCTCACTTGGCCCTCCTGGCCACTCGGCGGCGACGATAGCTCCTCCTTGGGTGTCTTTGATCTCGTGAGAGCAAGGGCTTGAGTCTGGAATGGCGAGTGTGACACACATATTCGGGTGAGAGTCACGCGAAATTCATCTGATAGATTTATGGCAATTAAGATTAATTTAGTCTAATTCGGAATTATTTATCCGCCAGTCGCACTGTGGACGTATCAAATCTGTATCAATTTATATCTGATGACACCTAATTAACATCTAAGCGCGCCACACAAGGCCTCAATATCGATGGTCTTACAATTCTCGTCGCGACACTACTTTATAGAGAGGATCTCGCGCGCGCTTGTTTGTGAATCTATCCGCATGATAAGACGCGCTGAGGAATTTCACGCAAGGTCAATTTGGGGAGTTGGAAAACTCACAATCCTCCCAGGATTCACAACTGTGTGACCCAGCAAATCAATTTTGCAGAGTTCCATTTGATAGTACGTCATGTTCATCTCTTGCTCAATGTTGCATAAGTATGTGGTGTTGTGTGATATTGACTTTGTCAAGTCACAATGCTCCAGATCCACGAGAATAGTTCATCTCTGATGGCGTTTTGCATTGACACAAAATTAATATTTGAGTGTTTGCGTCACATACAACAGCTTGAGCTCTTTCACTGTAATATACGGCTCTAATCTGGGGGTCAATCGATGTTAAGTAGAATCACGAATATCTCCAATTGAACATGAAATGTGATTCGTCCTCACACCATAAGTAAAATGTGTCAATCGTCAATCTTGAGAAATGGACAAATTCCACGAGATGACAACAACATCGCACGATCGCGATGGAATTGTCTCAAAGGAGTGGACAATTGAGGGTGAAGATTAGAGTTCTTTGGCGCGCTGAGCTCGCAACTTTTTCACCCGATAATGAGCACCAAACTTTCCCATGGCCATAAATCATCTCGCGAGACGGAAACCAGGAAAGTTTTCGCGGAAAAGATTAACGTGAACGTCTGGGGTGAATTACCAGGTGAATTCCTCATTAATTTCACCCACCCAAAACTGGTCAGAAGCTGGGCATCTTCTCCATCCAATCATCACTCATTCCCTAAGCATTCCCACAATCCGTGTGACATCTCAATCCACTCTTGGTGAGAGCAATTCCTACATGAATGAATCAACAGTCTCATAAACATCGTGTTAAGTGATTAAAATTTATCACACCACACAACCCAGAGTCATCCTGTCTCTTAAGCCAAAGACCCCGCACTGCACACACCATGGAAATAATCTTTCAGCTATCTTGCATTATTAACATGCAATTCAATTTCACAAATGACACTATCACTGTCCCCGGAACTGGATTCCTGATAAGTCTCGCTGAGACAGATTTTCTCTTCCTTCCCGAAAAAAAACTTCCCACAACTGCAGGGTTAATCACATGGTCAGTGCCGTTTTAATCTGTTCTCACCACTCTTTTCTTCCTCATCTCGAGTGCGCTTCCTGCAAATTAATTGCCCTCGACATACGCATTTCTCCATCTCGTCTCCCCGAGATGGAATTTCCCCCAATTAGAGTATCAAGAGCGAATTCATTTGATCCATCATTCATTTTGGGTGGTTTTGTCTTCAAGCGGCTCTGAAAACTTTCCAGTGGCCAATTTTTTAATGTCACACTGTCTGGAGACTTGAATGAAAGTACAGTGTTTAAATTCTGCCTAAGAATCAAGTATATTCTTCCAATCTTGAGCAGGAATGTTAATGGCGTGCAAGAGGAGAACGAGTTCGGTGAAAAAAGTACACCGTCAATCATTTCGTGTGTGTAGAATATTGTATTTTTACGCGTTTCCACATATCGCGAAAGTGACTTTTTTCCCCATTCATTCGCCGATAAGCGCGACATGCTGTACACTGCGTAGAGCGACTGTTCCTGCCTTTGCCAGTGATGCGAGCGCGCGAAATTTTCACCAACGGATGCTCATTGCAATTCGCGAGGAATTCCTCACATTGATGACGATTGCAGTACAAGAAGAAAACAAGAGAAAAAGAAGGGAAAGCAGGAGTGAAAAATATATCCGGCTCGTAGGAAATTCTATCACCTTTCACATCGCGTCTCTAGTGGCAATTTCGGGGGAGGCAGAGTGGCGTCGCCGGTGGGGTTAAGACACGCTTAATGTCTCCAGCATGTGAAGTGCAATTGTCGCCTAGATATAATTTCCCATGTGCAGAAAGGCGCAGCGAAAGAAGACCGAGCAGCGCACGCACGAATAAAGCTCCCGGGAGGGAATCGATGGGATGGGAAGATAAAAAGCGGAATAAGAGAGAAAAACATCTCAATCAATAATTAAGCATCTGGTCCTCGGGAGACGCGATGGACAGTCGAAAATTCCGAATTGTCATTTGCCTCCCTCTTCGCCACACCGCGCATCCATCATTCGCCCATGTCCGCGGATCAAGATGCGCCAGCAGGAGCCACCAGAGGGGAGGGCAATTTCGTCGGAGACCATCATCGGATGCGAGTTTTTGTCGCGTAAATGCCATTTATCGTTACACATTCATGACGATGGTCCTCGCCTCAGTACTTGAACATGCTGCATTTTTTGATTTTTCGCGTGTTATTGCCCCTTGTGGAATCACGTTGGGACCGAAATTAAATCAATCTAGTTTTTGCCATGGCATCAGCGCATTTCTCAAGACCCGTCCCGATGCGGTGGACAAGTGGCGAGAGGCGAGACTACTGACCGTACCAAAATTGCCACTGTGCGCGATCATTGATCGGGATGGGGCAAAGACAAAATAATGCAAAGTGCGCATCGATTCTGGCCCTCCACCATGGCAATCTTGCCGCGGGAGCCCTTGGGATATATGCAGGCCGAGGTAGATTATGTTAAATGTGCTGCGGCCACGCAGTGGACCCATTGGGATGATCGTTAAACATTGTTTAATACCGAGCATGATCAGACAGTTTTCGGGCTAATTATAGGCCCCAAGTCGCCCTGATTGGATATTTGTGCGTCCAGCGGAGGAATTTGGGTGCCTCCGAAAATGATGGACAGTGTCGAGGTACTTGCGCGTCCTGGCTGCCCTCCTCGCGCCTCCCTCGGCATTTTCATATATATTTGAGACGCGAATATTGAGGCGCAGGAGAACGACGGAGGAGAGATTAAATGGTGGCGATTGGTGGCAAGAAATTAACAACTATCGTGAGTTAAAGTGCACATAAGAGGAAGCAAAAAAACAGCGCCTGCAACGAGCGACCGGGCAATCAATCGATAATGCAACTCCAATGATCCCCTTCTATCCCAAATTCTCTCTCCATCTCCGTTTTCGCGGGCATTATCATGTGTCGCACTCGACTAAATACACAGTGGAATTCGGTAGCCGCTAGGTGGAACATCCGCCACAGCGAGAGAGAGAGATGAAATAACCATCTCGAAGACAACATCACTTTTTTGCGTCGTCCCTGCAGCGTCTTCGCCGCTCTGACCACGTTCCATACGCTGCCCAATGCCTCGGCAGACGCTCCCCAGCCCGCCTCCATCAGTCCTACACAACAAGCACTTACATACCTATCCACACAACTCTAAACTCACCGCACGAGTGGCGAAGGAAAACAGAAAGATTAAAATGCTTTTTATTAATTGGATTTAGTGGCGTTTTTTCCCTCAGCCGTTATCACAAGTGTCGCGCGGCAAATTTCAATCTATACCCGCCCCGGCGCGCGCCCCCCACTTTGATTTCCCACTCACCGAGAGGCCCCAACAATTTGTATGTGCCTCTAAATGGCGATACATATTGGGAAATTAATCATTTTTAATTTATTTTGATAACACTTTATGGGTTCCGTGTCGATTGGTGTGTTTAGCGATTGGATATGATTTTGATTTTCCCGCGAAGAAAAACATTTGCCTTCGCAACGCGAGTTTAAGGTGCAAAGGAAAGGAGACTATGAGTCTCTTCAGTCCATTTTTTACATGTGAAACTCATTAGTCTGCTTCAAATGCCATTTTCAACTTTGCTATCAGACACATTTTGTGATAGTTTTATGAAACTCATTTATCACATTCTGATTTGCTAGAACTACTCTGAATATTTTTCATAATTCTAAAAAGAAAGTCACTCGCAATTTTAGACCATTAACTTTTTGATTATTCCATAAAAATTTCAATATTTTCTGAATATTTAATCTAAATTTAAATTGAATTTGAAGTGTGAGAATGCGAAAATATTCGGAATATATTTAAATATAATTCGATTTATTTAATTATTTTGCCGAAAATATTCTATTGACGCGAAAAAAAATTTTTTTTGATTATTTTATACAAAATAAAAATCAATAATTAAATATTTGATTGAGAATATTAAGATTCCTCAGAAATCGGCTAAAGATTTTCCCCTTGATTTTAAATCTTCATCTATTTAGTTTAGATTCGCTGTCTTAGCAATAAGAAGAAGAAAAAACACAATCATGAATGATCGGAAATCTTTTCAATTCCCTTCTGCAAACGTCTCACGGATTGGGTCATAAAGACGTCATCCGACGATCAGCTTAATCGAGATAATACCGTCACCGGAAAGGCGCTAACAAAAACTCTCTTCAGCAGGGCTCAGAGGACAAACACTCCCCGTGTTTATTGTAACTGACAAAGGGAATATCAGAGCAAGAAAGGAAATTAGACAGAGAGAGAGATAAAACACCATTTATCCCAATTCAACCCCTTTAATGTGAACATGAAAAACTGTTGGTGTGTAACATAAATGCAGGTAGGGCAGCTAATTTTTTTGCGGATGTGACGATGGAAAAAGAGGCATTTTATCGCCCTCCGCTTCCTGATTCGGATGAGGAAATTGTCGAAAAGTTCATTTCAATTCCATACCAATTTCATGGACAATGATTAACGTGTTTTGCGGGTGACGATCACCATTGCCCAGAGGGAGTTTCGCTGACCGTTTAAACGTTCTTAAACCCCGCGAAGAAGCAGCGCGGCGATAAGCAAAGTGCGCTGCAATATTTTTGGGGACAAGTCATATTTTTCACGGCAGCAGCAGCAGAAAAACCCAAGCATGGGAAGTGGTGAGGCTTGAGGAGCGCGAAGCGGATTTTGTACAATGTTGGGGATCAAGTACGAATCTTGTCAGTGGTAATCAAAAGGCCGGCCGCCGTTTGATTTCGGGCCGTTGCGCGATTAGCGGAGGCTACGGCCAATCCTTTAATGCTAACACCCAGTCTTTTGGGAACTTTATAGCGAGGCTTTGGCTTTTGTTGATCGGATTATTCGGTTTAAGAGGTACTTTTACCTCCTTATACACTCACACACTCTGTCGGCATGTGCGTGTGTGTATATTGCTCTGTGGCAGTATCTTAGATTAGCGCGCTCTTTTATGTATGCCGTTCGAGAGAAGCCCTCCCTCGGCCACGACACCGTGGCATGGGATGAAATGCAGAACCTGGGGCTCTGATAATGCCTTCCCAAAGGTGCGGATTTCACAAAGCTAAAGGATTTGCCACTTGTGGCACAATTTTGCGTGGGAAGGAATTTCCCAGTCAACGCTGAGGAAATCCTTCTTGGTGACCTATAAAAATTTATTGCCAGCAATTTATCATGAGAGAGTGGATTACTCTCATCTTCCCGGAAATCCATCTTATGTCTCTATATTGATTGAGACAGAGCTTGTCGCTCACCTTTAGCCGTGGATTGAGGTACATAATATTTCTTTTATACTTCACACACCCTCCCTCTGTTCAAGGCATGTGCAAGCATGTGCTTGTGATGTCGAATTGTAAATTAAGGAGCAATTCTTCAGTGAATAAGCGACAGTTTGTGAATAAATTACATCCCTCTCGATCATGCGAGTGAGATTTCAAGTCGTTGGCATTTGTCATATGTTGGCCATACAGAGAATGTCACCCTTATTCAGTGGCTGAGCAAATGTCCCGGCAATGTAAAAGGGATAAGAGGGCGATGGGGAGAGAAAAAAAAGTTCAAACTGTTGAATACCTATGAACACATTTTCCCTCCTTTTATGCATTTTTCTATCAAGCACAATTTGTCAGCCGATAAATTGCCCACACCAGACGCACTATTACCCAGTGAATTTCTCCTAAAATTTTCTTCCTGATTAATAGCCCACCCCCTCTCATCATTTTCACGAGTCATTTGGAATCGGCCAAGCGTGAAATGCGATTCAATAGTTTTTTTTTTGTCTCTGAGATCAAGAGCGACTCTTTCTCACTCACGTGAATAATTGGTAACCTTCTTGTCGAATGTGTTATCACTTCCTGGACAACATGTGCACCTGTTTTATTTCCTCACCCGCAAAAAAAGACACTCTCATCGCCCCACATCAGCGCGATGTTACTTCATGTCTGTCGGACAACACAGCGCGATGCATTTGGCCAATTTTGGTATAACGGATAAAAAGTATGTTTCCCTCCTGATCACTTTGGCATTGTGCTCGTCAACCGCCCTCGAGAAGGCCAGCAAACAGTGGGAACGTCATGCTACAACAATAGCCGATTGCATTATAGGGGTGGCGCGCGGTTGATATTCTGAATTCAGTGTGAATTGAAATGAGACGCGTATCATGGCCCCTCCTCGTGACTCCTTAACCATCCATTCGGCGGGAGAGAAGTGCGGCTTGGCGTGGAGGCGAAGGTGAAAAACGAAGGGGGCCCCATTTAATTGACAACACTGGTCGCGTATGATGAAGAGCAATAAGTTGACGGTTAATTGGTATCAAAGAAAATTCCACCACACACAAACACACACATTCTGAAATCCTCGCGTCATCCTCCGTGACAAAATTATGTGCTGTTGGACAAAGTGGAGACACAGTCCGCCCAGAGTGACAAAGAGTCCAAAAATTAATCTCTTATTTGATATTAATCTCCTAATCAGAAAAATGCCTCTCTTACCCACGTTCCCATTTGGTATATTTTTCCGAACCTCATGTGAAACACCTCAATAAATAAAAAGCGATTATGGGGCGTGAGTATGAATTAAAGCCACCTAAACGCTATAAATCAATCCATCAGTAATGGAGGGACTTAAATCCCAAACTCACAAACACATTGCTCACTGGATTAACTTAATGATAGATTAAAGAATGCGTTTTTGCGCGCCTCAAAGTCTTCTCCTCCTCTCACACCGCGCACTGCCCAAACTACCTCCTTCAAAATCCCCAGAGCGCGACAGAGAAGCACGTCGTGAAAGAACGCGGAGATTCTACTTTTGCCAGAGATTATGGAGTGAAAAGTATGAAATTTTTGAAAGCAAGTCTTTCTCAAAATTCCGCGTGCACTTGTCAGAAATTAAAGACACAGCGCAGGAACTTGTCTATCATCTCAGAGATTAGCGCCGCACTGTGAAATCTTGGCCAAGCCCTAAGTTATCCCCCCTATCATAAAGTTATTGACGCAGTGGATGGTAAAAAAAAATTATTATCTGGAAGAGTAGCTAATTCCACGCAGAAGATTTACCAATATAAATTGGCTATAAAACTGTTATCCGCCTGGGTATTAAGACGGTGAGATATCGCGCTAAGTACACACCAATTTTGGTGGATTTGCCAATTTTATTGGACCTCACGATCGCCCAGGCTTTACCCTCGCGCGATCCAGGGACAGCACACTCGCGCACACTGGCTAATTAGGCGCAATTGAGATACACAGAGCTTATCCTCCATGTGATCATAAATCACGGTGCGATTTCAGCGTCAAAATCCGCTGAGTTGCTGATATTTTCCGATCCAACTCACCTCTTCCACCGCCTCTCTCAATTCATAAATCGGGATGTGAGTGAGTAAAAATATTTTCACAAAACTATTCTGCATATGAATAATCATTATAAATTGTCTTAATCCGATGAGGATTTAAATAATTAATTCCCTCTTGTGCGTCTCTATCCCAATATGCGCGATGTCCCGCGTAATTCTCGCGAGAAGCTGGCAAGATCCCGCGAGGCACGTAATTCAGAACAACAATAAAAATATTAATAAATGCGATTCCAAATGCGATCCGCTCAGAGAGAGAGAAAAAAATAATAATAAGTGAGAGAAGATGATCGGTGAAAAGAAGAGTCCACAGTTGTGTGGTGGATTTTTGTGTTAATGTTAATAAAATGACTCGCCAGGCATTTCTCAAACACTTAATCCGGGATTAAATTTATTTTCAGATTTACGTCTTCGGCCAGAGACGGCGAGAAATGGATTTTCTGCCACAATATGCCGATGAGTGGATTTGGGAGGTCGTGTGTGCGCGGGGGGAGGCAAATTAAATTCCATGCAGCCAAGGAGAGCTGAAAAGCACGCTAATGAACCCCCTAATCTCTCTACAGCACTCATTTAGATAGATAAATACAGTGCGACAGTGGATTCGAGAGAGGCACACTCGCTGGGCCACTTGGCCGGGGGAATGGGGCGCGGGGTCACTCAGGGGGAAATTCTCACCGTCATCCGCGGATTAGTGCGGTGAGATTTTGGTGGATTAGCAAAGAGAAATTGCCCGATAATTCTCACCTGCTGTCCAGCATTGGCGGCGACCCACGCTTCGGCAAAAGTCTCCATTGCACTCTGAAAATCCATGCCACTCTGCAGAGCCTCGCTGACGGTCAACACACTTCACTAGCGCTCCTCAGGATGTCTGTCTTGCTGTGGGTCAGGAAGCTCAGTTCAAGCACTCGCACAGGAGCGACCACCGCAAAATCCAGCCTGCTACTGGCGCGGGATTACCAGTTGGGGCGCCCAATTCGCCAGCGGCCCCCACCCACGGGGTTGATTAGGTGATCTGTCGGGGTGGCTCTCACACGTCCCTGGCACGCATTGCACAGGACACGACAGCAACAGACACGTCTGACCCACACGGAAGTTATCGCGCAACTAAACTCACTCGACTGAGGAACAACCTCAAACCACTCCGCCACACATCGCCATCTCGCTTCCACTGCCTGCGAGGGATTGTGCGAGACGATGTGCGCCACAGCACGACACCACTGCCGCTTCGTGGCTTAATCGGCGCCTAATCGGCCGGCGGTCGGGGATAAGATCACCCCAAACCACCCCGGGTGGCAGGCTAATGCGCGCGCATTACAGAAAAGTTACTGCCCCACACCGAAAGCTCTCCCCCGATGGGCCTCTCTCTCTTTCGCACCACCGCCGTGCCTTTTCTTCAATCTGCATCCGCATAAGCGCCGCGTTGGAGCTGAAAAATCATCAACTATTTACCACCACGTCCGCTCCCCGCCACCCGCTCTCGCCATCCCCCCGGCGAGCACCGCGCCCGAAAAAAGGCGCCCCCGCGGGGCGCGCGGGCGGCGAAGGAGGTGGAATTCGCCAATTGGCACTGGTGGGAAAAAGGAAAATAAAAGACATTAGGAGATTTTCTTGGATTTATGATAGCCAAAAAGCTCCGCCCATCGATTTTGATTGGACTATAAGGGAAGACGCTTTTATTGCACATCATCATCTGCCTTGTGAATAAAGCTCTCGCAACATCTTGCATTTTATCCCAAACCGTTACCAAACTCATGCCTCGGGAGCTTTCCGCCAAGCGCGCTCGCCCAAAAGAGAGAAAAGCAGCATTGGAAGTTGTACCCCGAGGAAAGCCCACTCTTAAGGGCGATCCCTTGGCCCCGGCTCGAAGGGTGCTTTTTGGGAAATTTATTGCCCTGTTTTTGGGGTGGCAAGTCCTTGGGACTTGGCTCACGTTCCTTCCAAATTACTCAATAATTTATCGCACTTGCCAGTTGAGAAAGGTGCTCTTCAGCTCCGGAAAATCAAGAGGTAATACGGAATTAGGTAAGGAATTTTCCACCAAGACGATGTTCCTGTGAAAATGCAGTTTTTCGCTCATAAGCTTTAGTTCTTTGAAATTGACAGTATTCACGTCCTGATTATTGGAAAGAAAAGGAGAATCCGGATCATTTTTTAAGGATATTTGACAAATCACGCAATTCTCGAACGGATTTAAAGAAAAAGTCGTAGAATATTATTTTGAGAAAACAATTTCTTGTCTTTCAACTGGAATAAAATCTGTTCCCGGATATTTTCTTTGAATTTCTTCACGTAAAATTGGATATTAGGAGATAAAATATGATTAATATTGAACTCCTGACGTAAATATTAGTCAGCTTAGCTACTTAGAATTTGAACAATTCCCAAATAGGAGCTCCTATCTTTGCCTCTCTGATGTTATATGATGAAAATCTAGTGGAATTGATGAAAAGACGACGAGTGTGAGATGAGAAAAAAGTACGACGAAGAAGATATTTTTTTATGATTCGCCTCTCAAACAGAGATTCGTTTATTGTGACACCCTAAAATCATCTGCCTTTTTCAGCCTCATCTCCCAGGCAACTATATAACGTAATTTTTATAAGGTCATGTCAATATTGTGTGTAATAAGACAAGTGCCAGGTAATCCTGATATTTTTCACGCAGGGATTACTTAATTCCCATCGTCTCTGACACTAATTGTGGGGGCTTCATAAAAAACAGCGCGATATTCGGCTGGGAGATGGCACTCTCTCTCCTCACCGCGTTGGACCTCGGAGAGTTCTAGCCGAGGAATTTAGATTATTGTGTGAAATAAAATGTCTTATTTGCTTGTGGCATTACAGAGATAATAGCAGCCAAAGTGGAGAGGAAAAATATCATCTCTTTTCGCTCTCTCAAGCGCCTTGATACGCGCACGATGGTGTTGTCTTGTGGCCATACAGCACCCAATTATCTCACAACCCACCCACTGCAGTGACTTCTTTTACACACTTAAGCCATCCTCAGCGGAGCTTTCCGCACCATCAGTCCGCCATCAAATGGCAGCGTGTTTATTAATATAAACACACAGGAAAGGGAGAAAAAAAGAATGTTCGTGTTTTCATGCACAACACACAGCGGCAAAAGTGTACGCTTTTTTAAGCCATAATCTAATCTTGAGTGATCTGATAACGCCGGTAATTAATTTTAATTAGGTAATGCAGCTTTGTGCTCTACCTGGATGATAAAAGACATGCGTCTGTGTGTGTTTACATTGGAAATGCGTCAAATATGTATGTACAGCAAGTGCCATCCTTCGCCAGGAAGTTGAGCATTTGTCGCCCCGCGCGCGCTCAGGAGAAACGCCTCGACAAATGTGACACGAAAGAAGGCAAACGAGGAGTGAAATACAGCAGAAAAATGTGACACAATTTCCCATATTTCACACTCTCCGCTTGCCTTAAAGATGCCACCAACCGTTAATTGATTTAATACACTTACCACCCTATCAGGGTGATCAGAAGGAGTGCTGCGATATCGCTTTCTGGCGAATGTGAGACATGATATTTGGCTGATTTCCTCAACACGGAACGATTAAGTGTTGATTTCTGCGCGGGGTTTTTGATTTTCCTTAATTAAACACACCATTTTGAGGCATTTCGCCAAAAAAAACATCAGTGTTCGATCTCTGCGTGATAAGTGTTGATTGCGAGCATTCGGAGAGCCTTTTGCGGAAAGCAGGAAATATTCCTCCGGTCAGCAATCAAGTCTCTCGGGGAAGAGGATGCATGGAGTGTCGCCAAATATCTCAAAAGGAGTTATATAATGGGAAGTGTTGCAATTGCAATGCTGGGAGTCCCTGGGAGTTGGCATTTGTTTCTCACCCAGGATATATTTATTATCACATGGCGATTGTTATTTCTCTGCGGAGGAATCCGGGTGCGCGCGCACGGCGATATCCCTGCTCCAGCGGAGCCTCTCGCTGGGGGTGTATCCAAGCAAAAACCGCCCCCTTCTGTCCCATTCACAGTTATCCGCCGCGTGACCAGCCGAAGAAGCTTGAGGAATTTTTCCGGCCAAATTGCTGGCGAGATAAGGAAGTTTTTCATCCCTCTTGCGAGGCCGAAAATCAAGAGAAGTCACACAACAATGCAGGGCGTTTTTGGCATGGGAAATAAAAGAGAGGTTCCGCCGAAGATGATTTGTGCATGTCGGAGAAGAATGTTTGAGGAATTGAGACGGAAAGGTGGCTAAAGCTGAAATATGATGTGTAAACTCTTGAAGGCTCATGGCGATTATCGAGCATTTAGTTTAACCTTCGGCTTCGGGTGAGAAGAATGGCAGGGACCAAGGACACAATCCCTCGAATTTCCTCTCTCTCTCCGTCTCCATCTTCCCATGCTCAGGTAAGTCAATAAAGCCGCGCTCCAGCCCTTAAAACAGAGTCCCAAGGAAAATCTCCCTTTCGACAGACCTTCAAAACGCACCGTGTGATTTTTTGTTCGGCTGGATTACAGGATTGACTTTAGTCAAAATTTATCACTCTGGCCTTTTGTTCGGGCCCGGGTAAAAATGGATAAAAAGATTATTTAACAAGAAATTGAGGACAGGTAAGGTTTTCTCTCATTCTCGTCTCCTTCTCTTCACCAAACTGACTTCTCTGCCTCTCAAGGATTAGTTAAACACGGCAAATGGGATGATTTTTACAATGGTCGTATTATTTATTGCACAAGCACATGGATCTACCAGAAGGATCATTTCCTAGAGGAAGGACAAAAAAATAACCCAGGCGACAATGCGTTCTGTTATGCGCCGAAACTGACCACGAGAAGTCGCTATAAAGATCTTCGTGGAACGCTTCCAGAATACACAATTTATGCGACATTTTTATCAATACACGAAATTTGATAACCTCATTTTGTGACGTTGAATAAATTATTTCTATTTTAACAAGTATAAATCCAATGGAAAACATTTGAAAAAGAGAATTTGGCAAGAGGAAATTCATTCATGAATTTAAACCGTTAACTGTGTGATTATTTAATCATATTATTTGGATTTTTCGTGATTTTTCAATCATTTCTTGAATATAAATAAAATATTTAAATATTTGATTATTTTTTCCACACATTACTTCCAGAAAGCAGCAATTTAATCTTTTAAGGCATGTAAAAGTTCTGATTTTATTACCCAAAGGTAAGTTTTGATCTTTTAGGATTTCGAGTCCAGCTTGTAACAAATTTTGTGACTTTCTCTCTTTTCATAAATCATCATAAATTTTATTTTTTTCAAAAATCTGTCGAAAATATTCAATTTTTGCTAATATTTTATTGAGTCTATTAAGATTTCTGAAAAATCGGCTTGTGGCTTTGTCTTGAGAATCAGGAAGAGTTGATCCCGGGGTTCCTTTACTTAAATCACCTGAAATCCCTGGATTTTTCTGCTTAAGATCAAGTGAGCACGATATTTCTCACCAAAACTGTTTCATCTTCAAAGGTAACACAAATCATGTACAAATCCACAGAATAAACAAGCAAAATCTTCTGCTCAGTCGGGATTTCGTGCCCTTTTCCAAGTGTTTCTTCCCGTCTCGGAGTCCAAATTGCCCAAAAGGCTGAGGCAAGAAGGCTGAGCTGGTCCCTTCAAACAGGATTTCACCCAGCATAATATCATCCCGTGGAGTTGAGCGAGAGCAAATATGGCAATGTTTATACTTGGACACTTTCTCACAGTCTCAGATCCACTCCTGCAGCGCCGCCTGAAGTGGCCAGTGAGATTTTCTCAGCGATCTTTTACGACCAGCGACGGAAGTTTAATTATTTTATTGTTCCACAATCGCACCATTTATTGCCACTCCAGCGATATCACTCCATATGGATGATCTAACTAAACCTTGATTTATCGCTTTAGCGCACCATTCGTGTTCTGATTTATTAAAATAACACACTTCACATGTTTGTCAATGTGTCTAAGTGCGA